GTGGCATCAGATAGTCACAAATTTATCAGTGATCATCAACAATAAAATGGGTTGCACATGCTGTAACTTACCTCTGAAGCAGGTCAAGTAGCATATCAGATAGGTGAGCTAAATCCTGCACCTTGCTCCTATCTGAATGCAGGATGGAATAAACTAGTATGCCTACTGCCGTCACATTCTCCACCAACTCCTGCTCCAGGTGACCTACAAGCAGAGATGAGCTCTAGCTTATCCTTCCCAACAGTGCAGCAACTTTCTGTATCAGGATTAGCAACCAGGTATACACAGGTTTTATAGAACTATAATCAATGCTTTTTTTGCGGAAGAGTAAAGGAAAGCCTTCTATGATAGGGCAGGAATGAGAAAGGTAATAAAAGTTTTACTATCACATAACAACATGGCCTTAATACCACGAAATTGGTTTGTTTATACTGCTCTCAGGGATATGTAGAAAAACAACTTTGAGTGTAAAATGTGCAACATGCGTGCATGTTCAATACACCAGCAGGTGCTATTGGCATTCTATTATAATATTATGTCAGATCTAGAATTTAATGGTGATGAAGCTGACTGGAATTCGCTGTATGTTGTACCTGCGCTGCGGCCAAGCTGCTGCAGTAATGAATGTACTTCACACAGGCACACCTGCCATCCGTTGACATCACACTGCCACCTGGTGAGACAAATCACTAACTATGAAATTATATCTATGTTTGAAGGGATCAAAATTATGGGAAATTACATATTCCCCTTACTCACTGTACCAGTAAAGCACACACAGAGTCGTTTGTTATTGCTGCCCTTGTTAAATCTAAACCTGCTCATCATTATAGTAGAATCTACCATGACCCTGGCTACCATCCCAATCCACAAGTATTGTCTTGTTCAAACATTATTCAGCTAATGCATTCTGATATCAAAAACTAATGATATTATTATCTGACCTGATAGCCTGGCCCTCAGGTGCAGAAAAGCTCTGTCCGTATATGTTTGGTGGGAGAAGAAAGCTCTCGGTCGGGTAAGGAAACCTGGCTTCTACCAGCTGTAGTACTCCTTCACCACAGTCCTTAACTCTATCCTGCACATCTAGGTACTTTGAGAAACCTTTCATCGTGTGTAGACAGCCGATCACCTGCAGATTGCATTATCACATTTACAGAATGCACGGCAACACATTTACCTATGAGTAAGCGTGTGTAGCCAGATTACTGATGAAGGCATGGAAAGTGCTGCTGGTGAAAGAACGGGAATATAGCTAGGTACATGAGTAGCTACTGACAAAAACATAAATATGTAGCCAGGTATATTAACATCTACTGATGAAAGCATAAGGGGTGCATCCAGTTGCACAAACAGCTGCTCAGCTAGGAATGGCTAGGCATATAAAAAAAACTACTGATGGAAAACGCTCACAAACTTGGTTGGCTGTATAAAATAGCCACTGATAGAAATATTGGCCTTATCAGAAAGCTTGCTGCCATTATCTCTCTTTTACAAGATCTGAACATATGGATACTCTATGACTCTAATATATGACTGCCATTAGTAACACGTTTTTACCTTTTCAGCACTATCCTGACAAGCAGAAGCCAGTGCTGCACCGATCCTCAGAACAGGTGCAGGGTCCAGTGGGAACAGCTGGATGGCTGAAGTCAAAAGCAAGCCCACACCTTTCTCTAAGCCCTGCAATGAATACAATGTGCATACGAGTGTACATGACCAAGTCATACATATCATGATAACTATAACTGTTTAGCCTATCACTCTACATGGGTTCATTATCATTGCTAGGCCAAGTCATGATATGTTAGCGATTATAACGTAGAGGATTCTGTCCACAAGCTGCCAATGTTACATCAGGTTGGCGCATTGATTTCATCAATCGCTACCGCACAAAGCCTTTGGTGAGATTTTGGTCCCGACACACAGGCATGGTCCTGCAGCGTGTTGACAGATGCGCGACGTGCCTACCATGTCCCACATGTTCTGCGCGAGGCACTGCAGCCTCAGCACCTCGCGGGCGATCTCGTACAGAGTATCCATACTGCCCAGTGTCTCTTCATCGAAGCACTGCAGGAGAATCTGCAGGAGGCTGTAGACAGTCTGCTTGCTTAAGGTGGCCACGACCTACCACAGGAGAGATAGATAGGCATGTGTACCAGATGTGGATTATACAAATGTCTTATCATGTTAATAATCATCTCACTAAATATGATACTCATCCAAAAATCCCTATTTATCTTACTCTTGATATATATGCATACACACACACACACATACACATGCACGCACGCACGCACGCACGCACGCACGCACGCACACACACGTGTAAATCCTTTTTCTCGACTGAACTTGAAATTCATGCAGCTATGGCACTACATCTAAGCGCGACATGCTTATTCTCTCTCACCGTGTTTCCAGAGAACGGGGCTGTGCGCAGCATTCTGAGGAGATACTCAAACGCGTCACACTGCAGCGCGATCCTCCCAAGTCTTCTCGCCACGACCGTACCACGTGGAGCCTGAGTGACGTAGTGCGCTAGCCCCCAGGCCAACAGCACGGGACCGTGGGGCTGCACTTCGCCCATCCCTTCCATGCAGTTGTTAATCTTCCTCAGAACGTCTTCCGACGCCAGTAGATGATATTCACTCGGCTCACTGTAATGAAAATCTCACCATTCTATCGCTGGTCTGTGAACATCTTAAAGAAGGAAATTCATTTTACAAGCAATTACCAAATCGTATATCTGATAACATGTTATATCAATATGGTTATAAAAGAAGACTCGAATGAAAATTGAAAAAAGCTAGCAATTGTCATGCTAGATTTGTTATTAGTAAGAAATCTCTTTGCGTATACCTGTCACGGTCCTGACATTGAAACAACCACTCCAGGTGAATGCCTTTCAGAAGAATTAAGACTTGAACATTCCTGGCAACAGGTAGAAAATTTAACAACCATCAGCCACACTATCTCATGCAAGTAATAACAAACGAAACAAATATAAGACAACAAAACTGATAATCTGGTAACCAGTGATTAGATGCCTCTAATGCATATAGGCCTCATTCTATAAATGAGGAAAAACACAAACCAAGTAAAATTACAGATTACAAGTCACTGCTAAAGGTAGCATGATAACAATATTATCTTCTGCATATTACCCAATGATTGTAAGCAACGTTTTAGACGCTGTCTCTAGAAGATGCTTGTTTTCCTGTCTTTGACCAAAGCCTTGTCTCTAAAACACATTAAACAGTTGAATTCAACTACATGCAAATCTAACGAAAAGGGGCAGTGAGTGATTTTTAACCGTCTGCTTATGTGTTCTTTGAAAGTTCGTTATTCCTAAACTGAAACATGAAACAATATGAGAAGTAAAACCACCACAGAAACCAAAAATTATGAAAGGCCTGTAAACAAATTCAAAAACATTCAACAAAGGACACTAATATCAATGACAATTTTGGTCCCATCCCCAATCATGCTTCAATGACAGTGTGAAATTTAACCATATGACTGCATGGTTGCATGCACTTATTCAAAGTGACAGGAATTATTAACTCTGTGACAGGAGCTGTACTGTTCCCTATGCTAGCAAGGGCTGACAAAAGCCAGCCCCAAACACCTTGAATAGCGCGAGGAGTCTTAGGAAGCTCTCCGGAAGCATCGTCTCATCCTTGTAGTACAACAGCATGATCTGTAGCAGCTCCAGCTGTTCCTTCAGGTTGTAAACCACCCATCTGCAGCCCAGCCGCTCCGCCTGTAACACACGCCTACACGTAAACCACCCACCTACAACTACCACCTGGTAAAACACACCTGCATGTACACCACCCATCTACACTTCTATGTGTAACATACACTTATATGTACACCACCTATCTACATTTCTACCAATACAAAAATCAACTGACTGTAAAATACACTTCGTTGTACACTTCCTACCTACAGCACCTACAACTGATTCCCGCCGGAGCAGAAGCGATAGTATTCTGCTCTACTTTCAATCATGCATGCAGTGCTCGCTATTGTGCTGTGATTGCCCTTCATTTTAATTTCAATTCTAATGCTAGAAGCAGTGCACTCATTTACCACATCACAGTCGCTGCTGTCAATGGTAGGTGGGGTGGCTGCACACACGGCCTCATACTGCTGCTGAACCTGGTAGGAATAGATTACAGTCAGTTCAAAAATAGGTTCCAAGTAGTTAGTACATCACTGAAGGTAACTACAACATATGGCAAGATAGGAAATCAGTGCAGACCTTTGCAGATCAGAGCACTGGCAATACATTGGTAATGCAAAACAAGGAAAATTATGGAGATTATTAGAGATACAATGTGCATTGGTAACTTCACCAATTCTGCTCAAGGGCAAACTAGATAATTTAGACGAAGCTCTTTGACCGATAAGGTGTCAGGAGAAATCAGAACTATTACGGATTCAATAAGTTTGCTCTTCTCTCCCGCAAGCGACTCGATGCATTCATGGTAGCTTTTGTAGTAGGGATGTGTCTCATCTTTCCAGTAACTGAGCAGGTGCTTCAGACAGCGCAGGATGTAGAGCCGCTCATTGTGATAGTATTTCCACACCTAAAACGATCGAGTCACAATGCAAATGTACTTCAACGTTCTCTCACCTACGTTATCACGCATTGCAGCGTCTATGGAATTCAAAATGGCTTACTGTGACATATAATGCCATAATCATACAACCTCCTTTCACTGTATCTATCTGTATCAATTTACTCTGCATTCAAGAACGGTAAATCGCAATAAGATGCTGAACGTTAAACTCTTATAGAAACTGAATTGAATTAGTTTCACTTGCTGGCTCACTGTACTGCTTACCTCTATGAGAAGCGTTCTGCTGTGGCGCTCCTCTGCTATCACATTCTAAATGAAAAATCAATATTTCAGACGATAAAGGCAATGTTGATAACAATAAAATGTTACTCGTATCAAACAGAACCATAGTTTGTTATTCAGATTATGTTAAAGTTTAAACCTAATCATTATACCTTAAGTTCACTCTGCAATCCTTGGTATTCGTATAACAAGTATGTTGAGAATAGATCACGACTCTGTAAAGCATCCAGATTCTAAAAAATGCAAGTTTTATATTTAAAAAAAATAGTTTTAACGCAATACATGATGAGTGAAGCATGATAAACACATATCAGTATTAGATCTCAATACAAAATCTTATGACGTATACAATATATTTATAATATATTAATTGGTACTACAATTCTGGTAAATCTCAATATATATATATATTTATAGCTTAAGCTTTGCAGAAGGATTACACACCAGAAAATATTACATATAGAGGCATATAACAGTGTTACCAAAAGTGTATAACATAGTATCTATGTAATGCACCAATACGAACATTTTCAGACGCCTTACCAATATCTCACTCAGTTTCAATATAAAATCTTTATTTTCATTAGTCTCCCTCTTAAATTTCTCAGTTGTAGCATTGCTAAAAAAAATAATAAGAGGTAAAATTTAATTATATTTAGATGTCACCGATTCACCATTGACAGGAATAACATAATTAACATAATTAACTCAAATAATACCCGTTAATTATGTTTCTCCTGACCCTATTCATATTTTCAAAATACACAAGCAGATAAACATATGGTTAACATAACATAGGGTAAACATTTTATGATTATGTTGTCTGTGCGGGCTGTTAGAAAGTGTGGTACTAAAACATGCCAGTGCTGTAGCCTGAACAAATTCCTGTGTGACGTGGCAAAATTTTGTAACCTAAATAAGTTAACTGACCTAATGATGGCATGTTTGTTCTAAGTTTCAAGAACTAAACTACATACAGGATATATAATTATGCTCTCTCAGTGTTTCCCCTGGCCAAAAAGGTCAGCGAGGCGGTAAAATTTGTGTTGGTGGTTGCGCAATCCGAGAAGCAAGCAATGCGAGCACCAAAAGTGATCGCTGTGCTAGGGGGGTCCGAGGGCATGCTCCCCCAGATAATTTTTAAAAAATGGTGCAATTTGGTGCATTCTAAGCTATTCTGAACACATTATATGAGACTCTTGAATCACTTTTTCAAGTTGTCAAAAGGAACAAACAAGCTTCTGGGAAAGGTTTTACTTTCGTTTTTCTCCTCCCCAGTCCTTGGTACCCCATGCATAGATCAATGCTGCCGCATATCCGCAAAGTTACAAGCGCCTAGAATCTTGAAGTATATACAGTTTACATTGCTTCTAGATATCAAACTGAATAAAAATAGTCGACTTTCTACGTTAAGAAAAGTGCCGAATTCAGTTAACAGCTTTGATTACGTGGGTGTCAGGTGTCACTGGTCGTGCCCTCACTCCCCACGATAACCCCTGCGACATATGAACTTATTGTTATGCGGTCATAAAAACACTGGGCTATGCTACAGACCGCAATCGATTTCTTAGACTGTCACAAGGTTTTGTTGGCGAATCATGCGTTGAGGGAGTTCATGCCCTCGGCTCTAGATGTTTTAGATATCCCGTCTACGTTCAGGAACGGAATGCGGATTTACAATTCTGTCTAAACTGCCGTTACGATGACCTTAGTATTTCAGCGTAATATGAGGGGAAAAAGTGCCGGTCAGGAGGACCGGCAGTTTCGTAGAGATGGTGGCCGAAGCAAAAACTTGGTGACCTCGGGCCTCCGGGTCGGCACTAATTTAGAACGCTGTAAATAAAGTGTAGTTTATTGATGGAAGAACAGCGATTTTCGTCAGCGAGGCAGTGTTTTTAGATAAATTTCTGCGTGGCGGGTGAGATTTGAGCGAGGCAGTCGCCTCGCTCGTGTCAATGCAGGGGAAACACTGCTCTCTTTTTTAATATTCAATGTATTTATTTCATGATTATTTATACATATTATGCTTATTATTTTATTTTGCT